CACTGAGCTACCGAATCAATTAATCAATCAACTGATGGCATTAATAATCGATAGCACCCACGGGGAAAACAGAGCACTTGCACTTTGGCGGCAAGCTTTAATGCAGCAATGTCTACCATCGAGCTCTACATAAACAGAGAGAACCACAGGTATACGTTATTCGACGGTAGGGAATAAATATTAAATCGCGTAGTGATAAAGAGCTGAATGCCCTGTACATCTAGGAACTGCCCATGGTCCTGTTGCGCCGAATGTAGTACATCACATCAATATGTAAAGTCAATATATATCTCAGTGAAAAAAATAACTTCGAGAAGGATACATTCTTATTCAGGAGAGTTCTTTTAAAGACGGTGAAAATTTTATATGATTAACTCACATCCACACGCGCACACACACACACACAAGCACGACCCACCACAAAAACACAAACGCTGAACCGCATTTTACCAATAACGATCACCACCCTCACTCATGACGTGCTTTTTTCGCTCGACACCTGTGGATGACGAATCACGGACCCACGGACCCCACAAACAAATTCAAGGTCATATAAGCTAACCCCACTGTCCAGTTTCTCAGATTCGCGGAATCAGTCGCAATTATAGGACGGAGATCTGGTGTGTGTGTGTGTGTGTGTGTAAAAAGAACTGTCAGTCACACTATCACTGCCTCGATGACGTTCAAAGTTCGATCAGTGAGCACTGGCGTGTATGCGTGTTATTGATGTACTGTCCAACGATACAGATTTTTGTTTTCTGTCGTACTGGACCGGGTCAAATGAGGTGAAATCTTGCTTGGGATAAATCGTGCTCTCTCATTCTTCCAATTGACCTCAGGAAAGTAAATGTTTCATGATTAACTGTTGGACTGGCCATGTAAGGAAGGGTAATTTTGCTGTGTTCGTCATGCGCGTAGTGCTTTCCATCATGAGTAATCCATAGACCAATCATAAGCGTCGGAATGATTAGAAACATGAACGCAATCCAAATAGTTCTGTCCATGATGTTATCGTGAGACAACGGTTTATTGGATCAGGAGAACAAGGTGAATGTTTTTTCAGTCAGGACGAAATATAGGAGGGCAGTACAAACAGCGTCGAATAATACAATCGATCACAAGTTGAGCAGTGGGGTTTCGAGTAACACTCAGTTCCCTGAGCCTGCATGCATAAGGGAATGGACCTTTATATTGAAACGTTTGCCGTTTTGATAGGCCAGGAAATATGTTGGGCGAGATTGACAGAAGGATATTTACCGTAATCCGTTTTGGAAATGTTCCGACTTTTTACAGCCAAATCGGAAAGACTATGGATTAGAAAGTAGAATAATGGAGGAGAGCTTCTGAGACTGATGAGGAAATCATACTGGCTATTGTACACTACGATAAGCGTAGGAAAGGACCAATCATGAAGTTTATTAAAACTCCCTTGACGGTGGAAAAAACTGTTTGAACCAAGGGATTGGAAACCAATCAATAGATCACCAGCATACGTCCAAGCAATAAAGTTTTTTGCACAGCAAAGATTCTGTATTTACAACAACAAAAAGACCGGAGACGGGACAGTACTCTAACAAACACTGGAATCTGTCTTTGCGAAAGAATATTCACTTTCACGAATATCAGCTGAGTCCGTATTATAGAAATGACCGTGCCATTTCGGGTCCAAAGGTACACTGAGAAAGATGTTAAATAAATAATTATCTAATCAAGGAATATGCCCATTGATTGAGAACACAGTGTAGGCAAACACATGTTCTCGGTGAATTCCTTTTCAAGTCTTTACAATCACATTTATCTGAAACAAGTTCGATAAGGTCAAACAAAACAAAAAGGTGAATGACTCATGTGTTTGGCAATGAGCCCAAGAGAACTCTTCTCTTCTTCTTCTTATTCAATTTTGTCCTCCGTGCAGATCCGCCTCGTTCTGTTGAATAGAGTTCGAACAGGACCACGTTTATACTTCAGGGGCACAAAACTCTCGAAGTGTAAATATTGTTAGCAGAAAAAGCTTACCCCGAAGCGTTCGTCAATAGACACNNNTGCGTCAGCCCAAAAATTACGAGTCACGTTGTGCGTCCAACTCAAAGGTGTTGACGTAAACAGTTTGTTAAAAAAAAAAACGACTGAGATCGACAATTGCTCGAGCCTACTATGCAGCCGATCCCCAAATCGTCTATCGGACAGCTAGATGCCCACACCGGCGGTAAAAGAACGTCTTCCTCTGTACGCTAACTCTAGTTTGATTTACCCATTCCAATGTGGGTGCGGAGCGACCTACGTGGGCAGAACAGAGCGACAGTTACGCAACCGGGTGATTGGACATATTGCAAATTGGGTTCAAAGTCAGCTGACGCAATCTGGGTCAGTTTCGCGGCACAGAAACAACGGTCGAAACTACAAAACTCCGTCATCAGCCATAGCTCGACATTGAAAATCGGTTCTCATAGCTCGCTCGGGTGAACTGAATTCCATTTCGCCTGTTCGCCGAGCTTGACGATTTGTTTGCAAACGTTTGCAAACAAATTGCCAAGCTCGGCGAATAGGCGAAATGGAATAGCTCGACATCTTCTGATGACGCAACACCAGATCGACCTAAGCATGGCGTTTCGGATTATCTACAAGTCATGAATCGCAAGACTGCTATGGTTTGCAGAAGCGATTGCTATCAGTCGATGGAAGCCTCCCGTGTGTCAACAAAAATAACTTTATGTTAGTTTATCCTTACCCTGGTGACAGTCTTTTCAACCCCTCCCCCCTTTTATGTTTGTCTGTTTCTTTGTATTTTACTCTTCTTTGTTGCCACGATAAATTCCTATATAACTGATGTTTTTTTCTGCAGTATGCACCATGTTGAGATGCAGCGAAATCGTCCTGGACATAAATCGTGCAGTATTGCAATTTGGTCTTTTCTTTTGAAATTGATCTCGGGAAAGGCTTGCTTCAATTTGAACAGAGTCGTTTTAAACATTGATTGTACTCCGGCTGACTTGCAACAAATGAGTATCGGTTCGAAGGACGACCACATGCTGAACAACTGGGCCAGATATGTTACAAGAGGCTCAGTACATGCTTAAATCAGAGAGGGTGTTAGGAAAACTAGGGCATGATCTTTGACAAAACCCAATATTCCTCAAGGCTTGAAAAACCTCATCCGTAGAAACAGTATCAATTTTACCATGGGGCGAAAAACAGGGCAAGAGGTAGCTAAATTTTGGTGTAATACGAAACGGATGATTTGGTTATTTTAACGTGGTAACAACGGCTGATGCATAGGCCACAGAGTTGGTATTCTGTTCAGAGGTTTTACCTCTATTCCAATTGGAATCGAGAGCTCTTCAGCACTGTTGCACCTGCGGTTCATGTAAACCGTATAGAGAAAGGACTTAAATCCCATAAAATAGGGGGAAAATGGAACGTATCGACTGGACTGTAAGTAGTTTCAAATGGGCTGAAGAAAGACACAGAGAAGAAGTTGGTTGAAAACAAAAAACAAGTATCCAAAACCGGACCAAGTTCTCACCGGAGCTAGCTATTCCTTCCTTTATTGATTTGAAAATTACAGTGATGATCAGTAACTTTTAAGTAAAACCAAAGTTGTACGGTGATTCAAAGCACTAACAGAAGCGCGCAAACGAACGGGAAACAAATCAAGGTGATTTAAGTACATGTCATTGAGATGAACATTAGGTTGAGGGGAAATTTTCCGAAGGGTCACCCAGTCTACAATAGGTAGGAAGGATGTTGCAACGTGTACATGATCGCAATGTAGAAATTCTGAGCAATATACGGGGTGAACTATGTTGGCGGACTATCAGTAATGAGGATTTTCATAAAGTAAATAAAAAAGAGTATACCGCGGAAGCCGCTTTGCAAAACGTAAAGACAAAACTGATCAATTAAGTGTTTTTATATCAATTTCAGTTGACAAAGGTGTCTACTCAACCACCTACTTCTCTAGTGGAAACTCACAATCCAACCGCTCCTGAAAAATATCTAATACATCAACGTTTTAGAAAACATCTTTCTCAATGTATGCAAACCGCCAATCTTAGGGATGTAAAATAAATTTTGCACTTCACACGGGGCTTCTAATGCACTAAATTTTGGACATCTTCGATTGAGCAGGCGAATATCACTTTATAAATAGAATAAATTATAATTCTGTTGAATGGACGCAATCTATCAGCCAAGACAATGCTTTTCATGAATACCTTGACTCGTGTTTCTCAACTGTTCCAAAGGATTCCTCACGGAATTTGCATTTTAACAGCAAATGCGCCCAGAAATTTCAAAATAGTGAGACTGTAGGACGTCACGAAGCGGGGCCTTTGAAGTTAGCCGCGCTATTTATCTTGAAATTCATATTTACACTTTTGTGGATTTATTGTCATCAAATCGCATCGTTATTAATTTCAAGGACACCAAATGCTATCCTACACGAGCACGTTTATGAAATCTTTGTGTTATCGCGCGAACTGCATCTTTTGTAAAATATTCTAACAATGTGAGAAATAAGTTCAAGCGGATGATCAAAACACAAAACTGTCGAAGGGAGAAAACATCGAGCAGGTTGGCAGGTCGCTCTCAGACAGTGCAGCACCAGTCGAATGCTAATTCCTCTCCTTTTAACAAGCAATGTTTGTTCTCTGTTGGGAAAAGTCGAGGAGTTAGTAGACATCACACAGAAAAAGGAGTACAAAAACCTGGGAATTAATATACTACAGGAATCGTGGCTGCAGGAAGAAATCCTTAGTGAAATTGTACAATCGGATGGATATAACCTGTATCGGATTGACCGTCCCGTGAGTGTCCGTAAACGAAGTGGAGGTGTTTCAAGTTACCTAAGCAACAACTGGAGTAAATCAACCGCAATCATCTTTGAATACTCAAGGGAAAAAATCAGTTGTCACGTCATCGAATGTAAGCCCCGTTTTTTGAGTGGATTTCAATCAATACTTCTAGGAAACCTTTACTTGTCACCATTTCAACGGACATGATGTAACATTACTCACCACATTGGGTCTAAAAAATTGGTACATTTTCCTACCAGACTCAATTCACAACTTGATTTCGTTTTTACAAACAGACCGCAATTTTTTGAAGTCCATCAACGCGCTGCTCTGAGCAGTTCAGATCATTGTATATTAAAATTATCTCACTGTATAGAGCAAAATTAACCGGTACGCATTTTTAAGACCATCAAAGATGGTTAGTCAAAGAAATTGTTCATCAGAGAATCAGTGCACTGCCCTGCCAGACATGGTCAGCTCTATGCCAAAACCAACTATCGAACCCTCCACAGTCCTGAAATAGCTACTGAAAACTAAGTTGAATAAAGCATCTGGCCCGGATGAACTATCGTCCGTAGTACTCAAGGTATGTGCGGACACCCTTTCAACCCCATTGTCAAAAATATTCAATGACTGTCTTACAAGTGGGAAAGTCCCTGATATTTGGACACTGGCCAAGATAACTCTCGTTCCTAAAAAGGAACCTGGGAAGTATCATCCCGTGGCCTGCACGTCAGTCATGCTCAAATTATTTGAGAGATGCTTATTACCGTGGGTTGCCACTGAGTCTGACGAAGACGACATGTATCAATTTGCATATCGCTCTTCGCGGTCAACACTTGATGCCGTTGCATATCTTGTTCATTCAATAATCTCGGCACTAGATAAGAAAAGTATGAGCGTCAGAATGGTGTTCTTAGACTACAAAAGCGCTTTCGGCAGTCTTGATCCACCAGTAGTGCTCAACCTGATTACCGAAAGTGATGTTAATCCAAACGTTAGCAGATTGATCTGCGATTATTTCACAAGTAAGAGGCAGTTTACGTGGCTCAACGGAAAAAGGTCCTCCACTCGCCCAGTTTCTTCCGGTGTTCTCCAAGGTGCAATATTTTCCCCATTTTTCTTTTCAATCTATGTCAAACAATTTCCCATTCCTCCTGCAGTCATTGGCTGTAAATACGTAAATGACGTTGTTTTAGGTTGCAAAGCATCCACCCCTGAAGACTCTTCAGAAATTCAAAGCAAGCTAAACAACATTGTTACTTGGTCCCTGTCCCGTTTCCTCCCATTGAATGCCTCTAAATGTCAAGATGTTGTCTTTTCCCTCTTGGACGATGTACCATATTCAGCCTTCACAGATAGGGTCCTCTTCCTCTCTACCAATCAACAATCCGTACCGAAATCAACAGTAGTAAAATACCTTGGCGTTACCTTATCACACAATTTATCATGGTCACTGCATGTTCAAAATACATTCT